TGAAACATACATTGATATAGAATGTTTTGAATTTGAAACATATTAATCATTTTTATTTGGAATAAAATTTACAAAAAAAACCAGTTTATCATATTTAAGTTTATGTTTTGCTTTGAATATGTAATAAATTCTTGTTCTTACTTTCCCAATGTAGAATCTATGTCACCTCTATTTGGTTCTGATTCTCTGTATCTCCCTTTGCAACTTAATGGCATTAATTCATCAGCAGGATATGCATTATCCTTAAATACACAGTTAATCAATCAATTCAAAGTAAAATAATTTTAAATAGAAATCTTAAGACACTAATTTTATTTGTCTTACTGATTTCTCAAAATATAATTTTTATCTTTAGTTTGTAAAAATTAAGTAATCATATAAAGCAACATTTCAAATTTTGTATTTACTTAAAATATTTACATTACATAAGGTTTATTTAAGTCTTGAAATATTTGTTTTATTTATTTTGTTAGGAATTTATTAAAATGTGTTAAAGAAATGTATATAAACTTTACCATATAAGCATTATATGCATGACAAAACATATCCCTGGCTTCTTCCCTGGAAGTAAAAGGACATATATAACAAGCATGCAAAAATAAAATAGACTTAATAAAATATAGTCATATATCAATACAAACTTTAATGCTTCTCGTTCTTCTTTACTCATATATTCTGAAGGATCATCTTCAGATGCAACTAACAATGCTTGCATGCTGCATCCAAACATTATTAATCCCCAAATAAATGAATCACAAGCCATTTTCCTTATATATTAGAAAATATATTCCTTTTGATGTCAAGACCTTTCACTTGTAATAGCACACATTGTCTTTCATATATTTTATAATTTATTTTGTCAAAAGACCAATATTGCATAATAATAAAAGATGTTGCAGTACAGATTGTAAATGCACCAAAGTAACACGTTTTCTATTGATATCTTTATCTTTCTGTCTCTTGCAGCATTTTTTTATGATAATTACAGAAGTACCACTAACTTATTAAAATGTATATTATTACCAATGAAATTTACACCATTAATCATTAATATTTATTAGATACACTTTTAAGTGCACGTAAAATAATTAAGAATTGGAAAATTAAAATGATTACACTGATCGTTGTAGGTTATAAAAGTTCTTGATTATTGTGTGAGTAAGTTGATGATGTGTCAAAAAATGACTGGCAGATAGTAGTAGCAATATGTATGTTTAAACACGATACAAAAAAAATAAATAAGCAATAGTAACAGCTGATTCCGTATTTGCATCAAGGCCAGATAATGTGGTTACTGTCAGTTTACTGTTGTTCAAACGATTTTCTATCTCAAACTATGATATATACGTCCAGGTTATACACCATATGTTTCACAACATGTATAGTACATTTGTGTTACATTAAATTTTTCAAATATCAATTTGTTGTAATTATATTATAAACTGTTTTTTTTTAATTTAACAAACTGTGTAAATAGCTTATTCATAATTAAGATAATAAGCGTTTTCCTCAAAAAACTAACC